GAAAGAAAAAGAACCCCGTTAGGGGTAAGATGATGGATTTGAATCCCATAGGATCCAAGAAACTCAAGTAAGAAATCGGATGGGGGATAACAGAGCCCCGCCCGCACAAAAGGAACAAAAAGAACAGATTGATTCGGAGTGGGAGAAGGGACATCGTGCTCACCAGGACCAGAGAAATTAGAGAGACATTTCTCCTGAAGAAGGCCATGAGCAACAAGCAGATCCAACTCCGCCTCCGAAGTCGACGGCTTGGGGAGTTGCCTCTGCATTTTCCGCATCGCAACAAATTCAGTGTTCTCGATCACCTTGAGCGATGCCTCTTCGTCGACAGATTTACCCTTATTTTTGCTCTTGTTCTTCGCCACCATCTCAGAAAAACAAAGACAAGATTTGGACGGAAATAGCAGGAGATCGAAGGCACAACGAAGCTAGGGTTTTGGCTGAGATTGGGGAATTTTTTACTGCAAAGGCAAGTTAAGCCAACAAGTAACAGAGCAGTTATCTTTATACAAGAAAAATACGCGGCCCACGAGGCCCAAAATCACACGGATTGCCCGAGGAGACCCTTCAAAGTTACCGTTCCACAATTACCGTGCACACAAAACGAAAAGGCAACGGTCCATTCAGACTATAACGGACACATGACGAATTAACACATTCACAAGGAGGCAACTAGGAAATAAGGATGCAACAAGTCAGTCATGACAATACACCACAGTACAGACATACAAAAGAGCTCGGCCACATCAATAAACAACTCGGTCATAGAGCAGAAAGGAATATTTTTTCATTTCATCAAAGGTACATTGAGATTACAACAGAATACAAGATCTGATTCGACGAAGAAAGCAAAGGAAATCATTCAGCACGAGGTTGCAACCCTCGAACCAAGATTCGACATTACTAGGCAGGATAAAACAACTCAAACGTACTTTTCTCCAAAGGAAGGGCGCACATCCAAGATTGCTATAGGTGACAGAGAAGGCACTCACAAGCCATCCAAGATTGACAACGACAACCTGGAAGAACCCGGCACCATCTCTCAACACGTGCTGATCTGTATTGGACTGAACCTAAATGGCACAGCAGAAGACCGAATAATGGCTGATCTACAACGGACTGTCGAAGAACAAGCCGGAACACGCGCCAATCATCACTGTAAGAAGAACAAAAAAGAAAGGACAGGCACTGGAAGATGAGGCAACGCAACATGCATCACTCACATCACAAGTCCTACACCATTTGCCTCAATATCCCTTACAGCTAAATGCCACCTCGAGACTAGCCTGCTACTAGTCTCTATCACAAGACCTACACCATTTACTAGCAGAAGAAAACAAAAGAAAGAGAACAGGCCCGGGGGCTCGTCGAGCTCCCAAACTATAATACCCATGACTATAAAAAGAAGAAGAAGAAACTGCACAGCAGGGTATCAGCAACAGGCCATATTTATAGCACAACTCAGATGCACATATGGCAGACTCATGGAAGAAAAAAGAACTCCAAAAGGACAACCATGTGAACAACTGCAGAGCCAGGACTTCAGTAAAAAATCAGATGTGACTAGACCATCATGAAGGAACAGTACATACCCAGAACAACCACAGTACAAGATAAAGCACATCAAAGAGAATATTCCACAGCAGCAATACAACCCGTGAAGACACATTGAATTCTCCAACAACCAGAATGACAGCAGCAATAAGCAGCCGAACAAACAAATCGAAGACGTGTGAAGGATCACATATAAAATTACAGTGTCAAAGGATTACAGTTGAAAAAGAACTCGGACGGAGAAAAATTATAAATCTCATTGATCGAAGACAAATACAAAGGTTAAGACGGCAAAACAGGACCGGATAAACTCAAACATAAGATAGAGACAAAATTCTTAAATATTGCAACAAGGAACATAGTGGCAGCAGCAACGGTAGCTCGGACGCACAAGAACAGATAAGAGCAGCATGATCATTACCAACCAAGCATAAGCCCGGAGGGCTGCTCAACCTCACACACCAGCATATCTACGAATGAAGAAAGAATTAAAGAAGAATTTTCCTACTCAAGGTAGAACCACAACCAACAAAGAAGGTATTTATAGCAAACCAGAAGTAAGCAAGGCTAAAGATCATAAGAAAGAGAGAGGAAAAGAACAAAAGAGCAAAGCAAAAAAGACGAATAGTACCCAAAAGCAAGATTCCTGACAAAAAGTAAAAGAAGACGCTCACTCATGGCTATACAAGACCCATCCGTGACCAGCAAAAGACAAAGATCAAAGGAGTACAAATCAAGACCCTTCTTTCGGCTTCTTTTCAACAGAAAAGAACCCGGAGAAGGCTCGGGGGCTGCAAGTACCTTCCACAGAAAAACATATTTTCAAATTTTTTGACCCTCCAGCTTTTTGCAAAATTGCACTCGCTGTACTCAAAGGAAAAAGAACCCGGAGGACGTCAAGCAAAAGTGCACATCAGCCAAAAGAAGAATCAAAGAAGACCATCTCAAGATTTCACTTTAAAAAGAACCCGGATCAAGACTACAACAACTCGACGCTTGAAGCTCAATCATGAAATGCTCGGGGGCTTGTCGATGGGGAACCCTACGAGCCCCCCATAGACCATACTGCAGGGAGGTAGGCCTTGGTAGCAAGGCCTACAGCCCAATCACCAAGAAGAACGCGGAGCAAAGCAACGTGCAAAACCGAAACTCCAACGCAAACTATACAAGGAAAGGCGCCCGAAGCGTAGCTTAGGACTCTAACCTTGTATCCGAATAGGACACAAACAACGCCGCTCAGCGCCTAGACTATAAAGGGCTGGTGAGGGTACCCATTGTAAAGGGAGAACGCATACCCGATACTCAAAGCAATACAACGCAAACAGGCTAATGCCAAAACTGGACGTAAGGTTATTACTCGACCAAGTCGAGGGCTTGAACCAGTATAAATCGTGAGTCTCTTTGCGTGACTGTCGAATTCCGCTATTCGCCGAAGCCCGAACAACTGTCCCAGGTACCCCCGTGACAGGCTATCGGTGGTAAAACATCGACACACCCTAAGTTCTAATCCTATCAACTAGCCTATCAAACTAATCTAGGAAAATAAGCACACAACCAATCTACATAATATAAACATGGAAGGTAAAAAGGGCGATAGAAATGCAAACTCCTGTTGACGACTCCGGTATTTTTATCGAGGTGTCGAGAAGCTCATGCCTTCCCCTAATTCTCGTTGGAGCTTCTCGCAAGGATGCCCTCGCAAGGACCAAGCTCCTGGTCGGGTAACTATGTGGATAGCTCACAGGCCTTTTTTCACGTGCAAGTGGGTCTCTGGGATGACCTCTCCTGGACCGCTCCCCGTCGTCTTTACTATAGAGCTTCTGGTCAAACTGCCGCGGGCCTCGTTCCTTCCGGTACATGGTGGTGGGCACACCACAAATGGTTGATGCGATCTCTTAAGACTACAAACCCATCCGATATACAAACATGGTGCGCAAAAGCACCTAATAGCAAGAGGTATGCTAACCTCGCTAATACTAGTCCTAAACCTAGAGCAAGCACATTTAGTGGTGGTCTAACTAGCCTAAACACTTCGCAAAAGCACATACACTAATTACCATGTATATCACTAAGCACTATACAAGTGGAGAGCTCTAAAATGATGTAACAACACCTTGGTATAGTTTCCCAACTCCTCCACACTCTCCATGGCCGGTGGGAGGGTTATATAGCCACCCCACCCCCAAACTAGCCGTTGGGCAACATTCTGCACAGGTTCGGAAAATTTTAGCCCTTCTCTGAAATTTCGAGGACTGCCCCGCAAACTAGCCATCTGTTGGGTATTGGAAATTCCGAGCACCTCTTCGGAAAATTCGAGGTCCTGTTTTTAGCCCACATACTTTCGTATTTTGGGCATAACTTTTAGCTCTAAACTCCGATTGTGATGATCTTGAACTTTTTGGAAAGCTAATGAAGAGCTTTATATCTTTGAACTGACATCATATTAATTTGACCAAATCCAAAATCATGAGACAAGACTAATTCATTCATCTCTTTGTGTCGGCTTCCATTTCATTTGTGTCTTTGCGTGCATGCTTCTATTTTTGCGTCTTGGACTTAATTCTTCAATTGTAGGTCTTCAACAAAGCTCCTACGGTTTTATTTGAGGTGATGATCATATGGTTTATTGCTCCACTTCTGGTCCAAGTCCGCATTTGCATCTTGTTGAACTGTACCAAATATGCTAGCAAACAATATAATATTGGTCTAATTGGTCATGTTGATCAAAACACCAAAATCCAAACTAAATGGATCATAGGGCCCATTTTCCTTATATGAGCAAAATCGTTTTATGAATCTTTTTTTTATTTCTTTTATAACAACTAAACATTACAAATTAGCTCCCCACTTTTTTTTTTGACCACTTTCCTATTTGGATCCAATAGCACAAAAATTAGCAGCTAAAATTAGTCCTAGTGGATTCAACATACCTGCTAATTATTAGCTAGGGGCTGCTAACTATTAGTTTCATTAGCTGATTTAGAGTTACTAATAAGCACTAATAGTTTATATAGATCTTCAACTCACTGTGCAACCACCTATTAGCAGGTGGATTAACGGCTATTACCACAGGTTGAACCAAACACTATCATGTCACAGCCGAGAAAAGACAGTGCGCATGCAGTTCGTTGACAGAAATTATCTCTAGTTTATATGAACTAATGACAGTTCCCATGCACATAAAAAAGAGACAGATTCATATCCACTGGTTGAAATAAGCTTTTCGGAACAAAATCTGGCAAACCAAGGGAATTACAGGTGGCAGTTGACAGGTTACCTCAGAGCCAAACACTATCATGTCACACAGTAACGACAGTGCGCAGCAGTAGTTTCTTCCTCGACAGCTTCTCCCAGATAAAAAGCCATTCTTTTATAGCACAGCACATCTCGCAGCAGGTCACAGCTTCTCCCAGAAAAGCCATATAGCACAGCAACATCTCGCACGGTCACTGGTACTGACTGGCAAGCTGGCCTTCCTTGACGATGTAGTTGTGCACCGGGAAGTCCTCGCCCTTGAAATATCTATCCAGCATGTCCCTCACACCCTCCGCATAACGCAGCTGCATGAATTGTTTGTTTGCCGGCAATAGTCAGCAGCAAGTATGAGAATGAATAGCAAATATCGTGCAAACTGCACTGACAGAAAACATATCAGTGTGCATGCAGTCTGGCTCCATGGTACATCTGCACACTGCACTGTACATGTCGTCAAGGACTCAAGGTACACAGACACACTATTACCTAATTATTCGAGTTCTCAGTACAATTTTAATCCAGTAAAGCTTTAAGGTGATTGCCATTCTAACAAGAAATTCAGCACTGGTACAATCATGACGACCAAACTTTTGCTGCCATGTCCATTGTTTTTTGATGTCACAGAAACGCAAGAGCAACCATGTCTGAGTGGCTAATTGAACATGTAACATCAGGACCAGTTTGGAATTTGGTGCGGCCCATGTGCATATTAATGAGATATTGTAGAGAGTTTAGTCCCACCTTAGTTGTTAAACGCGGGATAGACCAACATATAAGGCTTTTAGAGTCCATCCCACTATCCCCGGGTTAATCTTTTTACGCGAAGCGAGGATGAAAGCGTAAGTGGGATGATGGTAGGTGTGGTTCACTCAGCGTGTAGAGTGGAGCCGACCTTCACAGCCATGGGCGCGTACGGGTCAGGGGCGCGGACATGGGGCTCAATGCACGTGTAGGCCGTGCGGGGTGCACGGCATGGCACTGGACGTAGGTGGGATAGACCAACATATATGGCGTCCATCACACCATCCCCGGGTTAATCCTTTCACAGCATGGCATTTGTGCCGGCACTGGACGTAGGTGGGATAGACCAACATATAAGATGTCCATCGCACCGTTCCCGGGTCAATCCTTTTACGCGAAGCGAGGACGAAAACGTAAGTGGGATGGTGATAGGTGTGGTTCACTCAGCGTGCAGAGTGGATCTGAGCTGTTTGGACTCCATCGCACCGGGGATGGTGGTAGGTGTGGTTCACTAGCGTGCAGAATGGATCTGAGCCGTTTGGACTCCATCGCACCATCCCCGGGTTAATCCTTTTACGCAAAGCGAGGACAAAAGCGTAAATGGAATGGTGGTAGGTGTGGTTCACTCAGCATGTAGAGTGGTAGGTGTGGTTCACTCAGCGTGCAGAGTGGATCTGAGCCGTTTAGACTCTGGGGTGTTACAGAACAATATATAAATTAGTCATAGTTCATGGTAGGGCATGGTCATGTTAGAGCTTGATGACACATTGCAACGGTGCTCCTAACTAAGCTAATGCAGGAAGCAGAGACCTAGTTTCCTATGAGGTATTAGAATTAGATAGAATTCAAAGTCAGCTAAGAAAACTCAGAACCTGACCTGCGCATCAATTGTAGTCCCAGAGATGTGAGGGGTCATGGCATGGTTAGGCATGTAGCGCCAGGGGTGATCCTTCGGTGCTGGCTGGGGGAACCACACATCGCCACCGTATCCTGAGAAATGGGAATGAGATGCTCCATGTTACAGAAAGTACTGGTCAATGTAGGAATATAGATTGCATTATTTCCCTATTCTCCAGATAAAATGTAGTCAGGGTGTCTTTTCAGGAAAGCGAAACGGCTCATTTGAAGTTTTGATACTGAAGCCACAAAATACAATGCATGCCAAGCTTAAGGAAACTAATATTACTTCATGGACCCCTTCAGTAGAATAAGGCTAACTTGTGTAGCAATACTGTTGTGTAAAGAGACAAAGAAAACATATTAATGCAGTAAGTACCAGCAATGTGTCCGCTAGAACATGCATCTGCGACTGCTTGAGTATCCATGATTGCCCCTCGAGCATTATTCACAACAATTACACCTTTCTTCATCTTTGCGATCCTCTCTTTGTTAAACATGCCTCTGAACAAAAGAGCAAACAAAACTCAGAAAATATGTATTTTAAAATATTTTGGAAATTAAGTCATGACGAATACAAAGTTACAAACCTTGTTTTCTCCGTAAGAGGTGTGTTGATCACAATCACATCACACTTTGGAAGCATAGCATCCAGGTCCTCCTCAAATTTGGCCCCAATTTCTTTCTCAAGCTCTGGGTCAATCTGAAGTCTGTCATGGTAAAGCAGGTTGCAGTTAAAGGGCTTAAGACGCTGAAGCAGGAGCCTGCCAATACGACCAGCCCCAACAGTCCCAACAGTTTTTCCTTCAAGATCATAAGCTCTGTGGGCAATGCCTGCTACGTTCCATTCGCCTTGAACTACCTGTTGGTACCCAGGCAAGAAGTTCCTGAGCAGAATCAGAATGCGCAAGAGCTCATCTTCTGCCACAGAGACGGTGTTACTTCCAGTGACCTCAGCCACAGTTAAGCCCGCAGCAGCAGCTGCTGGAAGATCAATATGATCGGAGCCAATTCCAGCCGTGAGAAGAAGCTCAAGATTCTTTGCCTTCTTTATCCTCTCTGCAGTGACATAAGCTGGGTGGAATGGTGTGGTAATCAGGACATGCATGTCTTCAATGTGTTTCTCCAGTTCTGGAAACAATTACAGAAATCATTTAGTCAAAACAACTACAGAACCCGAGTCTCACGAAAATTGTATCGGAGTTCTGCCATGAGCTAGAAAAGGTGATGGGCCAGTTTGTCTCAAGCCCAGGTTACACAACCTACCGACTGGTCTGTTCCCCTCGTTACAAGAGTCAGAACTACAAATAACCTGCCAACACCACCAGACCACTGGCCCGTGTCCCTCATAAAGAATCAGAGACTCAGAACTGCCTCAGTCGCAAAAACAATTGAATTTTAGATCTGTTCTAAGTAAAACTATTTTAAATTTGAACAAATTTATAGAAAATAATATTAACAGTTATGATTTCAAATGAATATATTATAAAAATATATTCCATGATAGATCTAGTGATACTTGTTTCATACCATCAGTACTAGTTTTTTTTATATAAAAAAAATAGTCAAACTGAAGATGGTTTGACTTAGCACTGTAGTTAGAATTGCATTTTTTTGGGATGGAGGGAGTAAATACTAAGTTGTATATCAACATGTTTCATCTTCGTAAGCATAATAGGCACACAACAATTGGCATGCATAAGCATCTTAAGTGATACAACAATAAGACAACATGACAGTCAATGACACTGCAGTTTCCGAACAGTTGGGCTAAACCAGACACTTGGTCACAGAATGGCCCTACCAAATTAAGAAGACCATTTCTCCCTTTCCATGAATCAGAAAAAAAAAATCTCCATTCTAATTACAGAAACAGAAGCAGTTGACGTCTGCAACGTTATGTATACTGCCCCAGTATGGACTGCGGATGCTGTTACCTCATCCACTGAATTACCAGCAATGTTCTATTTGAGTTCAGAAATACTCCCTCGTACCCCAAAAAAAAAGATCTTACAGGTTTAATCAAAATAAACTGTTGTAAGTTTGAGTAAATTTATAGAAAAAGTGTGTCAATAATATAGTTTCATAGTACTTTTATATGATGTCACCAATAATACTTCTCTCTATAAACTTAGTCAAACTTATGAGGTGACTTTTACTAAATTTATAACGTATAATGTCATTCTTTTTGGGACGGAGAGAGTATTTCGGTGTTCTAAAATCATGATGGTAGGCTTGTTAGCTTCTATGTTTGAGTAGCTCTTGATCAAGAGATACTCTCTCTCTCTCTCTCTTCTATTGAAATATAAAATAAAATGCTTAAAGCTAGCTCATAAGTCTTTGTCGGAGCTGCCCTGAGATAAATGAGAAGTACTCCAATCCTTGGTTTTGGGGTGGTGGTTGGGGCGGGAGGGGGGTTGGCTGGGCTATACTGACCACAGTTGGGGCCCTCCTTGTCATCGGTGACAATGTACTGATGGCCCTGCGACTCGAGCCAGCCGCGTATGCCGAGTGCTCCCTCGACGCAGCCGACGAAGTTGGGGTTCTTGTCGGCATACTCCCAGCCCTTGTAGAACACCCCGACGATCTTCTTGCTGCCTGCAGACGTCTGTAGAACAAAGGAAGAATTCAATCAATGAGAATACATCTTCAAAGTTCGTGTCATAGATAGATCGGACCGCTCCATCATCTGAAATTCACGGCACAAGCAATACATCTGATGTGAACTAAACTCTATTAAATTTCACCCAAGAGGAAAAAAAACATACGCAAGGAAGGGAAAGAAAAAACTGATAGTACATGAGATGAACAGAGAATCCTGAAAAAGAAGCACAGACAACACTGAAAGGAGTGAAAATTCGCCCGACCCGCACCCGCAGCTGAGAAGCGCGAGCGGAAAGTTGCCGCGTTTTGATAAACTCGACGCAATAGCCACGGTGAATCAACGAGCACGCGAGAAATTTGCAGCAAAAATAGAAACAGGGTAACCATATCCGATCAAAACGAAGACGACGAGAAAGGTAGGGTAGGGAGGATTGGCTTACGTGTGCGGCCCTTGAGCCGAGCGCCCGGTCGACCAGCTGCCTAGCGGCGGCCCTCCACATCGCCATGAACCGCGAAGCCAAAGAAGGATCAGGGAGAAGGAACCGCACGGCGAGGAAGCGCAGGAGTGAGAGTGAGGCGGAAGAGGAACAGGACTACAACAGTGTCCAGTCGACTGTGGGGGAGGAGAACGGCACGGCGGATAAAAGGCTCCCCACCGGGACCCCGACGGGTGCGCCCCACCAATCGTCACGGTGAAACGCGGGCCACGCCGCCGCGTTCCACGTGTGCGGGGGGGCGAGATGACTGCACATCGCGGCGGTGGTCCCGGCAGCCAACGTGCGGACACCCAGAGTCCTGCTCTGGGTCAATGACAGCTGGGTCCTGTTTTTGCTGGATCCACTTGTCTGTGCTGGTGCACGTAACTCAGCTGATGGCTTTACAGATGATCATCATCACGGTCACGGCCGCACGGGAAGAAGGAAACGAACAGAAGCAGCGTGAATGGGCGCTGCGATCGGTAGCTGGCAATGGCAGCGCACGAAGCATGCCGTCCCCGTCATGGAAGAGGTTGATGACCTGATGTGAACAACGAGACGACATTAGCTGACGAAAATCACGCAATATTTTTCCATGCCCGTGCATTACGATGGGATGAAAAAAAAACTATTGAGAAACTGTTTAGATCATTTTATTTTAGAAGAATTAGAATTTACTTAATAGATTAGACTATTTGGTTTAAAATTTAATATTTTCATAACTTTTCTATGTTCGCATATAAGCCTATCTCATCTCAAAATCATAAAGCGGCCGATGAAAATTAATTTTATACATCACTATGTTATGTTTCTACTCTCCAATTTATTATACGTTGTTTAACTCGCTTCCCTACAATGAGTGAGTGGTATTTATAGCTCTAGCACATTTAGCCATTCTGGGCAACATCAGAACTTTTAACACCTAGGGTTTGTATGGGAAAAGTACGAATAGGGTCACCGGGCTGTGTGAAGGTAACATCGGACTCCCGACGCAGATCAGAACTTCCGATGGTTGGAAGCCAGCAACTTCCTACACACTTACTTAGGTAGGCTTATGTGTGTGCGAGCAACATCGGAACTTCCGATGCACGTGAGAACTTCGATGGTTTGAAGCTGGTAGCTTCTGACACTTATTTAGACAGGTTGCACGTGTGCTACATCGGACCTTTATGCACATTGAACTTTCGATGTCTATAAGTAAGTGAGTTACCTTTGACAGCGCCTATGCCGGTCTGTGTAAGAACACATCGAAACTTCTGACGCCCATCAAAACGTCCGACGTGACAAACTTTCAGAACTCACGCAATGTGCCTGTGATGTGTTCAAGTGTCTCAATAGATTTTAATTAGGTACCTGAGCACTCTAGCTTCCTTATACCAATGTGCTTTGCATCCCTCTTGATAGTACGATATTTCCTAAACTCAATTGCAAAATATAAAGCGAATTTAAACCACTTCGAGTCCGAAAACTTTTCAATCATCAAATTGAGGGGTGCCACTTCATAGAAATCATTCTTTAAATCTTTCAAGGGACCAATAGCTACAATATAACTCAATAAATGCATTAGTTTCTAAATTGGATGTCATTAATACACGAAAACCCATAACATGGGCAAATACACTTTCACATATGCTTAGCTTCCTTAGACACGACAGAAGACGAATTGGTGAAGGGTTTGCTCTAGAATAAATGTTGTGTCACTTGCCCTCATTGGTTTGCTCTCTACTACACTTGTATTTACATTCCACATTTGTGCTTGTGTAGTTGAAGCTCTTTAGTGAGTAGAATAGTTTAATTGCTTAATTAATGTAGCTCACTAGTTGTAGTTGTTGCCTCTAGTAGCTTGTCTAGTATAGTTATAGTAGTTAAACTTACTACTAGAATTGTGTAGGAGGGCTTGCATTGAAGTGAATAGGCTAGGCAAGTAGTGGCTATTAGGATTGTATTTGTTACTACTAACTTGGCTATTCACTTTCCTCTAGCCATCTAGATATCCTTGGCGGTGGGTCCCTATAGATCTATATGAAGTGATAGCGAATATCAATGTGTTTGATTGTTGAGTGTTGAATAGGATTAGCGGCAACATCACTGCGCTCTCATTGTTAAATAGAATAGGAACTTTTTCAAATTTGAGATCAAAGTTCAACAAAATTGCTCTCATTCGTATCAATTGTGCACAACAACTTCCCATGGATATGTACTCTACTTGGCCCGTTGAAAGTGCAACCGAGTTATAAAAAAATACTATCAACATTTAGATTTTCACATAGGTTTATAATGAAAATATATTTCATAATTAGCCTAGTAATACTTATTATGCATTATAAATATTGTTGTTGTTGGTGTTGTTGTTGTTGTTGTTGTTGTTCTATATATTTGGTCAAACTTGAGATTGTTCGACAAGATTTCTATTTTTTGAAGATGGAGAGAGAGTATTTCTATTCTTTTCCCTTTTTTGTTTTGTATTCTGATTTTCCGAAATGTTGGATGGATGGGATGGACCTGTTGACTCTTAGGATGAGGACAACACCGCGCTTGCTTGGATGGTGTATGACCATTCTCTTAGGACGAGCACAACACCATGCTTGCTTCTATGCTTATACACCAATAGCATTTTTTGTGCACTGTAGACAGGGCAAAGAGCTCTTAGGATGGCATGGCTGCCTTTGCCTACCTAAGAGCTAACGTTTGTTAACCTTTTTATTGAAAAGCTATAAGGACCGTTTGAATTCTTTCATTTGGAAGGAATTACAATCTATTTTATGGATTAGGTTTGTCATGGTTATGATACCCCGGGTATCTCAAGACACTGATTTGTAGCCGCTCGGGCGGCCCATGATAAACCAGCTAGTACAAGCCCAAGCGACCATGGCCCAACTAAGCCATGCAGGCCTGGGCCAAGTGCTAAGACAGGGAGTCGGCCACGACCTCTTTCCTCTCCTTTCACCGCACACTGCCCAGCTCTGCACGACCTCTCCTCCGTCCCGACCCCTGGGAGGGATGGAGAAGGGTCGAGCTCCACCAAGAACGCCTGCTCTGACCAGGGCAGGCATGCCCCACTCATTCTGCCAGGATTGAAGGGACAACTATTCCCTTGGTCCAGACGAACACCATCCCTGTGCCACACCATGTAGACGAGACAACACCGACAGGAGGTGACGACAGGTATGGTGAACCACTTTCCAAATACGGCCCAACAAGATGGGCGTACGGCCCCACCCAACACGGGATGGGGCTCGCAACTATGGCCTTGACTTCCAAGGTTAGCTAAGCCAACGAAGGCCACGACCCTGGAGCTTGGGATTGTGGCCACCGGCTCCATGACTAGCAAGACAACCCACGACCCAGGGACGGCTACCAACTCCTGTGCGACGCCCCCGGGAGATCGGGAGACGATGATGAAGGCCACGGTGAGACCACATCACATAGGACGGCTGGCGAGACACCAATGTGCCAACAGTATTGTCACGGCCAGCACTGTAGCACCATGCCACCCCATGCCGCGACGTGGGCACAAGACCGTGATGACAACCACACCCGGACGTGCGCTACACCAAGACAAGATGGCCTTCCTTACTGGCCAAGTTAGCTAGTTTCCCTCTATCAGGCTCACGACCGTTCGGTCGGGAGAACCTATCTCTTTGTATGTGGCCTGGCCCCAGACTCTATATAAGGGCGGCCAGGGCACCCTCCAAGGATCATATCCATCTTCTTTAACACTCTCCTATCTCATTCACCCTTCTTGCATACCCCATTGTTAAGAACTTCAGAGCATTCAACCGAGGAACACACACTCGATCTTTCTCTGAGACTGGACGTAGGGCTCCGGCCTAAACCAGTATAATTCTTTGTGTCTTTGGATGCTACCATCATCTTCCTAGAGTAGCATGATATTCATATAAGTTCACTAGTCGGTTGATGAAACACCGACAGTTGGCATGCCAGATAGGGGACAGTCGCTCTTGGCACCTACATCGGACTCGCTCTTGGCACAACCCTCGGTGGCTGCATCCACTTCGAAAAGCCTCGAGTTTGCCGACGCCGATGGGCCAGCACCCGTTCCTGGTCTTCTCCCTGGCCAAGCTCTATGATTCAGAGATTTAGACTTCATAGCCGACCACCTAGGTCAGCTACGCCTCTACGAAGGGAATGTGGCCCCACCGCACATCCCGATGCTCAATCATAGATCGGCTCGCATCGGTCCCGCGATCATTGACTCTGATGCACTTGCATGCAGGATCGACACCTACCTCAGGACGAACCCCGAGCCGAAACAAAGCCGGCACATTTTCTTTGTGCTGGCCAATGCCTTCGCCCAACTCTCAGGGAGCGGGCCCATGCCACCAAAGGCTGAATTCTGGAACCCTTGCACTACATTACCCTTAGGTATGAGGGATGCTACCACGCTCTTCAAGCAAGAGCTCACTAGGCGCAATCGTCGTTCGATGACGCTCAATCTCTCTAGGTTTGTGGGGATGATGGAATAGGACCCAGAGTCTATCTACGACCTCCTATCGTCAACCCCTGGTGAAATGGACTCTGAGTCCCATTTCGAGGGGAGCTGCCATCTGTTGCGGGAGTGTAACATGTTGCACCTCTCAGATAATGGGGCAGCAGCAGCGGGGGGTGGAGAGGACGATGCCCATTCGATTCCACGCACCCTCGAGGAGCAGGCGAAGTACGAGCAAGAGCGTCTAGAGTGAGCCAGAGCTTGCGAAGCTGAGCAGGCCAACGAACGCAATGACTCCAGATGCCCTAGTCCACCGCACCTCAACGCCGAGGGCACGTAGGCGTGGGCACACCACGTATACGATCAAATTCAGCAAGGCAAGAGGGAGACGCCTGTACACTCTCGAGCCCTCGATCGACGAGGGAAACACATTCACAAGGAAATTCGAGACTTGTTGGAAGCTGTGACGGTACAATAGGCCCAAAGCTCTGCAGAGAGGCGGCACCCTGACCAGTATCATACACGTCTCCTCTGCACACGGTGCCCCCGAGGGACCCCACGCACCGACCATGCTCTGGCC